TAATTTGTTAAACATGGATATCCGCTCCTTACTCCACTGACCGTCACCCGTGACAGAGTAACGCTAGGCTACCTTGGATATCCGCTCCTTACTCCACTGACCGTCACCCGTGACAGAGTAACGCTAGGCTACCTTGGATATCCGCTCCTTGCTCCACTGGCCAACGCCCTTGCTAACACAGGCCACACAGTCCACAGCCTGGTTCAGGGCCTGCTGGATCTCGTCTAGTGGCGGTACGATCACAATATTAGGGATCGCCAGGCACACGCTGGCCTTGAAGATTGGCCGCTGACTGCTGCCCCTTAGCCGCTCTGCGGATTCGCCTTCAGCTGTAGGGACAAGGAGGGTCAGAATAGTCAAGAAGTGCCAGCAAAGGTATAATACAAACAATTCATACAGCACAGTATCATCTGCAGGGCTACACAGAGATTAATAACTGATACTCCTACGGCAGAATTACATACATAAATACGCATTTACTCATTTGACATTTGCACTACCACCTGTCACTTTTCCGCTAATAGCACACTATTAATGGTTATTTATTTATGTTTAACATATTGTCTCTTTATACTTGTGTCTTCTGTGTCACAGTCTTGGAGTTAGGCAGCCAAGCATTTCACTGCACATTGTATGGAGTTCAACTGAGTATATGACAAATAAAACTTTAATTTGATCGGTTACCCTCCCTAGCCTCCCAAAAACGCCCTCGAGCGGCACCCATCCTGCGGGGCTCCTCACCCGCAAAGTGCAGCGTGGAGGAGGTGTGGATGCGTCTGCGGAGCTGTTCCAACGTGTTGCGGGTGAGCCGGAGGAGGGCGTCCACGTTGCGGTGGTTGAAGTGGGACAGCAGCTCTCTGGCTTCCGCCTCCATGGCCGCCTTCAGATCCTTCTTCCTCCGCTTTTTGACTGGGGGGGAGGGTCCGGAGCTGGTCGTCATGGCGTTACTGGACAGGAGCCTGCCATCGGCTCTGCCATCCTCTCCTGATGTGAGTCACCAAATGGCACCAACTTATCAAACATAATCTCCAAAGGAAACTAATGTAGGATGTGCCACTTTCCTTTAAATACTCCATTTTTAACACCTATATCTGCACATATTTCGCCACAGGAATTCTGTAATTTACAGTACACTGTATTTTTAACAGTATTTCTCTTGTGTCCTCGTCTCAATATGTCATGTTTAAATTTGTTTCTTATTTATATTTTATTTATTATTGTTTCTTGCACTACAACCCTCAGGATGGATCATACATACAGGCAGAGTCGATTTTATAGGTAAGTTGAAAAACTAATAATGCAGCACATAATAATAATTATACAGTAATAACTAAAATAACTACATACTGTAAATTACTGTACTGTACCTCAACAGCTACCCGAACAGCTAAAGCTGCAAATGTTTGCATGAGTGTTATAAATAATGTGTGCATTCATTATTACAAACCATTTTATTTGACCTGAATTGTTCAATATATTATGTTTTATGACAGTCCATTCATAAGTTTGAAGTGCTCTGTTGTGAAAGGTACTATATAAAATTGAATTGAATTGAATTGAATTGAATTGAATTGAATTGAATTGAATTGAATTGAAGTAAAGTGAAGTTTGAGTTGTCTATGGGTCAGACGTTCTTCACCCAGAAACCATCTGTATTGGTTTCAGGGAGGTACATACAGTAGGGGTTGCTGGCTAGGCTTGGGTGTATAGCACAGTATAGCACAGTATTTTTGTTCTGAATTACCACCAAACCCCTGCTCGGCAAATTTAATTGCATTAATACCGGAATAGAGTTGCTTTTTAAAATGTTGTCAAAATACCATATACCGCGGTATAATGTCTGAATGGGATGACAGCATTAAAATGATAGAACGACAGATTTCCAGGACATTGCACATCATCTGTGGGTGTCAATTATTGGGAGACTTCTAGAACTTCTGGGAGATATGGGATGTCGGTATAACTGAAGATGAATAAAGGAACTTTGACTTTGCCATGACTTTGACATAGTTTAATAAACATACTATAATTAGTATATCTACTTTTGAAAGAACAAGCTTGATTTATCAGATATTTGTCAACATTTATTGGTTACCATCGCTGTCTTCATGGTCGATTCTGCTCACACTTCTGCTCTCATCCAGAAACGCCTCCCCTTCCTTCTTGTCCGGCTCGAACTCCAGCAACATGTTGATCAGCTCATTAGCTGCTTCCTCCACTAATGAGCTTTTAGCGTGCAAACTCTGGGCCCCCTTGATGCAGAGCTCCTGCGAAATTAATCAGGCATGGATGAGATGTGCCCAGGGTGCATGCTGCTGTTGGATTCTCGCCGGTTTCTGTGGAACGCTCATTTCTAGATTCGTCCCAGGAAGTGACATCAAAGTTAAAAAAAAGGGTACGGTTTGCATTAATTGCTGCCAATGTGGCTGTTGAAACCAGGACTAGGGACCTCAGAAGAGCCTACTGAATCTGACCAATTAAAAAACACGCAGATATTTTTGGCACGTTTGGGTGATCCGCTGAGCCGCCTTCTTACCCGTGTCATCTGGACAAACTCATCGCAGGTCAACGGCCCATCCTCAGGCAGCACACATAACACAGCCGCACTCATCTCCTGCAGGGCGGCGTCGATGCGGAATTCCACCAGGTCGTTCACCTTGTCCACCAGCAGCTCCAAGTCAGCTATGAGCGCACACACAACATCAGCATTTCCCCCAATGGTGCAAAGACCCAAAGTCCTACACTCGTAATACTCCCCCAAAATTTGCCCGACTGCTGCAATTTTTTTGGAGAGGTCGACGGCTCCAGCCTCGGGTTTCATTGCTCACCGAGGGCAGCCATCACTCGGTCCAGGTACTTCTCGATATTCATGGAGGTCCAGTTGAGAGAGGTTAGACCTGGCAGGACGGCTTCGTCAACCTTGGCCACATGAGGCGTGGCCAGCTGCTCGAACACGCTTTGGATCTTCGCCCTCACCCGGGTGTTTTCAGCCAGCATCAACTGTCAATGGACAAAACTCTCAGTGTCTCAGCAGCTAACTGTACAGTTAGCACCACAAAAAAGCCTAAAATTATTATTTTATGTTCATTTTTTTGTCAAAATAAACTGTATTTTTCCGACTGCTTTCTAAGTGCTCTGTTTGTAAACAGCACTTGAACAAAACCCATTCTTTTCCCATTCTTATCTTCCTGAGTCAGAATTGCTGAAATAAACTAAAAAACGTGAGAGGTTTGCTAATATTGACCTTTTTTTACAGTTATCACCCACACTGTCACTCTTGGTCCCTAGACTGCAAAGAGTAAATGGGATATTTTCTAGTGCTGGTTGTTGTAATGTTTGCCTAATTTAGCTTGTTTTGTGGATAAAGAATAATAATGGATTTTGATCACTGGACCCTTATGGTGATACACACAGCGAGGTCATATTTCACAAATGTCGGTGCTTCGCTTTACTTGTTAATTATGAAAAATTATACAGTATTATTATTTGTATGTTGTTTCTATCGGAGAATGTTTTAAAATGGATATAAAATTTTATATTTTTATAATGTTAGCATGTTAAGACATTTTTTTCTTAGAATCAATAAAGTTTTAGCACGCTGAATGTGAAAAGAGCAACTTCTGATTCACCAGAAGGCCAGTGCTAAAGAAGGATAAAATTAGTTTAAAAAGATGCAAAAGGCTGAGTTTGTTCTTGGTGTTAAAGCACGAGGTATTCAATAAAAGTTTGCACAGTTACAGTTATATGTGACTTGACTTTTATGTATAGGTACATAAAATATCTGTCACTAAACATCTGAGGTATGTAATAGCCTTTCCCTATGTATACAAGGGTCCAAACCTTCATCCTGTACTCAGTAGCAGTGTTAACCACCATTCAAACCACATATTTGCGTGGGACCTCTGGGGTTTGGGAGCCCCCTGTTGACCACAAGCAGTCACTACACTAGGGGCAGTGGGGGGCCCAAAAGTGACTTTTTGAGTGGAGCCCCAGAAACAAGAAACCCACCCCTGCTTGTTAATCACAATGTGAACTGAACAGCTCTAGAACAATCAGTTGAGTTCTCAAGACGTACAGTAGACCTAAGAGTCATTTTACACTCTAAATAATTACAACTACAGGATCTCTAATGTAATGACTAATTTAGCTAAGGCAATAAAGTCAGAGTCTCAGAGTATTTAATGTGTGTTGATTGAATAAAATGCACCTACAGAGGCCTTTATACGGCAAATGTTTCTCAGAGCACTGTGACATCAGACAATTGATACCTGGAGCTGATTGTAGTTCTGCTTGAGGATCTGCTGTTTCTGCTGTATGACAGCCGCAAATGGAGGAATCTCCAGGCCCATCTTGGTCATGCAGTCTGTCTCCCGGATCTGAGTCAGGATCTGGGGGTCGAAGTTGACGAACAGCTGGCCGGTCTCTGGAGATCTCACCAGCAGGGAGGCCTGGAGCCCTGTTTTGGCCACTTCGATCTGTGGACAGAGATGTTCCTGAGATCCCTGCCACCAGCATATTAACCGCTTACAGTCTCCCGCATCACCCCTCCTCATGCGCTCAGATCTTCATCTTATGACTGCAAGCTACCGGCTATTGAATGACAATCTTCTTCTAAATATGTAACACCGGAGGTCTCAAGCTACTGGCCCATGAGATGGTCTTCTGTGGCCGGTTCACATGTTTTTAAGTCATTATCTAATCTGGCCCACAGGTCAACCTTCCCGTTTCCACTTTATGATTTTTCATTTAAGTGATTTGCATAAACTTGATTTTCATATGCATTAGAGGGATATAGCCATTACATCGTCTTGTCCACTCATTCAATGGCGGACCTGCAAAAAAAAGCAGCCTGGGAATTTGCAGTCAAGGGGCCCGACTTCATAATTTGCCGCCACCGATGGGGGTGACCAATGGGGCGGGGACACACCTTAGCCTTAGTATATTTTGCAGGTGACTGGTGGGGGGGGGGGTCCCGTCCTCCAGTCCGCACCTGCTCTTGTTTCCCTTTTGCTTCATGAAAAGCTAAAGTGCCCCCTTGGAAGGAGATGTCCTAGGCTGAGGCCTGCATGTAATATGTACCCCTGTATATACCCCTGATGTGGTATATTAAGTCTGAATTTATGGAATATTACATTTTATTATGATGAAAAACCTGCTTAATGAATCTGACAGCAAATGTAATACTAATAATAATAATAATGTGCTTCTATAAAAATAAGTAGAATATGCAGTGAAGTCTCACCCCATTTTACCAAATTCTTTATTTAACAAGAATAAAAAACACCTTACTTTTATGTAATCCTAATGCAGTTATTTTTTATTATTTCATATAACAGGATGCAAGCTCAGATCTTGAGCACAATAAATGAATCCAAAAAGCCAAACTGAACAGGAGCCAAAGCAGGAGTAGTGGAGTCCCACCTGTCTGAACCAGGCTTGGTGGTAGAGAACCTCAAACTCCAGCAGAACCTGTGCCAGCCTGTTGTAGTTGCGGATGATGAGTTTGGCCTGGGCGGTGGCCAGCACCCCCCGCTGCTGCTGGAAGACCTCCATGGGGTCCTGGATGCGGCGGTAAAGCTGACGGGCCCACAGGACTCTGCCCGCGATGGGGGGCAGGTCACGGCCGATGGGGGGCTCATTCTTCTGTTTGTTATAAATCCTCGAGACCATCTCAATGTCCCGCCCATAGTTCTGAAGGATCTTCTGATACTTCTCATCAATTCCTAGACCTGGGATTCCAAGCCTGAAGAGACAAGCGGTTGACACAAAGGGTACAAGATATTTCCTAATATTCTAAGGAAATGTTAAATGAGACTGCAGGTTCTAGAATGGCTCAGATTTTAGTCGCCTCATTTCAAATTTTTGTTCTTTATACCTTTCAAAATTCTTTAAGATATTCAATGCTCTTTCGGTGTTCTGTATTTTATCAAATGTGTCTTCCATAAAGGTCTTCAGTTGATTCTGTAGAAATACAAGCATTAAGAAACACAGTAAGCATTACATATATGAACAACATTTGATCAGAGTTTTACTACAGACTCAAAACTTACATGCAGTTCACTGGTTTCTTTACAAAACTCTTCATAATCCTGCTCAAAGTCAGTTCTTCTCTGATCCAGGAAACTGTATTTTTTATTCTTCATTCCTGAAACAATACTCTGAAATCCAAACAACATGGTTATAATCCCGTGGCTAAATTTCTCATCCTTCTCTAACTACTATAACAGGTTTCACATCCGGGTCTTTGGGACCTACAGACATTCCACATTTTTGCTCCCTCCCAGCTTTCCGCCAGACAGTCCACATTTTTGCTCCCTCCCAGCTTTCTGCCAGACAGTCCACATTTTGGCTCCCGCCCAGCCTTCCGCCAGACAGTCCACATTTTTGCTCCCTCCCAGCTTTCCGCCAGACAGTCCACATTTTTGCTCCCTCCCAGCTTTCTGCCAGACAGTCCACATTTTTGCTCCCTCCCAGCTTTCCGCCAGACAGTCCACATTTTTACTCGGAGCTGGAAGGACCAAAACCTTGGGCTGTCTGCATGTCCCTGAGGACCAGATTGGAAAACACTGTACTATAGGATCGATAGCTTCCTACTGATATTCAGTATATTACATATCACAACATCACATATTAATGAATAGCATGTAGAAATCAATAGGATGTAGATGTTTATGAGTGACAATCATCTGTACTGTTCTAAACTACAGCTCTTTATGTAGGTGTTACAATGGCAGCACAGGAGCAAATCCCAACTTATAAGTACAGTAACTAGTCCTAAGGTTACCCATAGTCATTTTGAATGTGTTTAATTACATCAAGAATCAAATTATTGACAGAGTCCAAAAAAACGTCTTAATTTTTTTAAAACTTTTAAATATTTCATTCGAACAACCCCAAAAAAATCATAAGTGATGTGATCTGGTTGGTGGTGGTGAATGTTTCTTAAAATGTGAAGCCTGTTAGACAGGATTTCTGCATATCAGCATGCAGCTGACCGATTACAGTATGTGCAGAACAATAGGCACCAATAGAAAACCATAACTTTAGATCCTCAGATTCCAAGAGGTTTGAGATCTGCTTCACTAGAACTTTTGAGGTTCTAAAAATATTTTATATTAAACTCCTACAGCCGACTCCTGGTGTCCTGACTTCCTGTGTGTCAAATGTGACTTTTGTTCCTCTGCTTACCCTGGGATTAAATAGGCTAACACAGCTCCACATCCCAAAGCAGCCCTCAATTACAGATACAGCTTATTCAACATCAGCAAACTATTTTTCTTCACATGTGGAAACTGCTCAAAAAATTCCTAATATGTAATGTCCTGAATCATAAGAGATAACTTGTATGATATATAACTTCAATTTCTAATAGTTTGGAGCTCATATAGTTTTGACTAGCGAGACGTTATATAATTTTTTTTTTAATGGTTAACCCCCCATTCCAGCCAGGGAGTACCCAGTGTTGTGGCCTGTGCTGCTCCCCCCCCCACCACCCATGAATCTGTCCAGGCTAAGCAGTTAGAAGTTGGATACATGGATGAACAGATAACTGGATTAATGAGTGGGTGGAAAGTGTAAAGCACAGTCGGCCCTGTCTCACTGATTATTAAGGGCATTTCATTAAAATTGACACTAAAGTTTAAATTACCTCCCATTTTTGCTGCATTTCTGTCGTCTGTCCAGTAATGGAAGCAAAGAGAACAGAAAAACATGAAAACGCTTGGAGGGCAAATTAGCATCCGGCCACCATGCTGAAACATGAACCCGCAGTCAAATCCACAGCGACGGCCTGAGTCTCGGCCGAAGTCCTGGGCTCTCGTCACATTTACAAAAACGCCTGTTTACTTTCTGCTCTCGCTCTGCTTTTCTGTAACTCACAGGGGTGACATTGGCTGGACCTTATTAAACGTATGATGCTTCAGATCGATTGTCAGGCCAGACATCCGGAGAGGTGTCCTTTTGTTTTCTTAAAAATTCACCTGAAACCTCGTGGCCATGGTCTCCAAGCCCTCGATCTTGGAGTCCTGCAGGGCAGAATATGTCGTGATGGTCCGGAACATGGCGAGGATCTTGTTGAGGCGTCTTTGGAAAGTGTCAAACTTTCCGAAGATGTACATCTCACTGAAGTCAAACTGACGTTCCGATGGACTCTCTTCCAGCTTCTGCTTAGTTTTATGAAAGCATTTCTGATACTCCTATTGGAAATAAAGGAAAACATACTCACTTTGTTATTCAAATGTTGCTCTTTAAATTTCCTCAGTGTTTAATGTGTTGCATGTTCATTTAACATTGGATGAAGACTTTTAGCACTAGCCCAACAAATAGGCAATGGTACATATTTATTTAATATTGTTACAATGTATTTTTGTTTGATCTTTATATAGCAAACATTAAATGAAAAATGTAAATAGAATATATAAATATATAATATATAAAAAAATTTAATGGTCCTATTCTTTCACATGCCCAAACACTCCTAACCATCCACACCTTTGTGTAACAGACCATCTAATAATGCCAAAGAAAACCCCAAAATAACTCCTTAGATCCCAAACAGGAAGATTCCAGTCATGTTGTTAATACCTCATTTAAACAGATGGCAGCTTTCAGTTTCTCGGCCACAGCGTTTTGGTCCTGCTCCCAAATAGTGGCCGTGTCGTTATTCGTGATGTAGGCTTTGCACGCCGTTATCATTTGGTTCGTCACCTATGGAAAAACCACAAACCATCATTTTTAAATGGATTTACAGTATTTCCAGGACAGTGAGGGGTACATTAAACAGGTACGGGGTACTTACTTTCACAAATAATGAGGTGATCTTCTCTGAAGTATTGTAATAGCAGGAAATACTGTGTATCATCCGGATGGCATTGATGAGGCCAGGAATTGCATCCACCATTGAGACCTTTTCAATTAAAACATAAAAAAAACCAAAAAAAAATACAGTAATTGCACTGAATGTTGAACAGGTGGCCAGGTGACTGACACCTACAGGGTTGGGGGTTCAAATCCCACCTGTGCTGTGCTTTGAGAAGTTAGAACTTTCCGTAACACTTTTCTTGAGGAGGCACAAGTGAAATAGTAACAGTTATTACTCAAGTACAAATCATGAACACATATAGTAACAGAGTGAAATACAGGAACAGTTATGATGTTATGCATTTAAAAATCCATGTGTCCTGTAATGTGCCTCCTATTGCCTCCTATTGGGCCTCTACGGAGCTTTCCAGTTATATTTTTTTATAATATGATACCCAAGAAACTAGGACAATTGGATGGCCGCCTCTTCATACTGTACATACCGGGTCACTATTGTACAAGGGGTCACAGAACTTCTCCAGGGTGTACAGATACTTCACGTTGTCTTTGGCTTCGTTGGCTGCATCAGTGATTCTGCCGTCCAGCTCTCTCCAGGACTACAGGTAAGTCAGTTAAATAATAAGTTGTCAACATTTACAGTCCAAATGGCAGGAAGTGTAAAATACAATAAAATATGTTGCATGCATTAAAGGAAACACAGAGAAATAAAATGTGGATTAAAAATAAGAGACAGGATCTTCAGGAAGCTTCCTCACTTTGATCATTTTGGACTTGGCAACCACCAGAACACCAACCACCGCCTTCACGTCGGGGCTCTTCAGCTGTTCCAGGAGATAGTTGAATCGAGACATGCGTTTCTTCCAGTGGTCCAGCTCAGCACGTGGGCCCAGATCATCCGCTTCTTTCCTCAGCTGGTCGCTCTCCGCCAACACCTGGACACACCGACCAGAACTATCACTGGGCCCAGTGTGGGATTCACCCATAAGGACGTCCCGGAGACGGTTTTACCTGCTCGATCTGCTTGATCCACACTTTCATACAGGCTTCAATCTTCTCCAGGGCTTCTGTGCTGTTGGCCACCACTGTGTAGTCAGATGGTCCTTTGAGTGTCTTCAAGTCATATGAGTCACATGGTTTTAGACTGACCTAAAGGATAATACATCACAGTGGTTCAAATAATTCTGGAAGTTTTCTTATTTTGTGACAATTATTTGCATTCAAAGTTCAATAGGCAAATGGTAATCACAGTCTTGTTTCACAGTATGATTAAAGAGCTCCTCACAACCGTGAGTAGGGTTAGTGGTAGGAAGATGGATGGATGTATGTATGTATGGATGGATGGATGAATGGATGGATGGAGAACTCAAAGAACCACACTTGTACTCCAAGTTTAATGGATCTTGATGACACAGTGCCTATCTTCTCTATCTATATTAAAATATATGACTGAAATTACCTGCAGGACATAGCCAGCAGATTTATCTTTGTATTTTATGCATATGATTGTTTCACTTGACCTATCCACAGTAAAGGTGGTGCTTCTACTTCCTGTTTACATTATACAAATGTCAATCTAGGAGATACTCAGTGAGAACACAAATGCTGTATATTAACAATATGGTAAGTTCCAGTTGGCTCTAGCTGCATCTTCAACAATTAACAGACACTCCATCCCTCAGCAGTTCTTCAGTAATTCATGGTGGACATATGAAGATCACCTTCTCCATAAGGCTCTCCTGGGCTCCACCAAGTACAGCCACAAAGTTATCCAAGGAACTGAGGAAGTCCTGGCGGACGGTGAGGGTCTGGGGGCTGGCCAGTTCCCCCCATCCGTGATCCATCTTCCTCATGGCAGGAATGAATATCTCCGACAGCAGCTGCTCCACACTCTTCAGCAAACCCATCTCTGTGGTGTTTAGCATGTTGAAGTTGACTTCCTGTAGGACAAGACAAGTTGGAACTTTTTTGATTATTAAGAAAAATAGATGTACTACTTTCAGATTTAAACATCCGAAAACATGACGAATAACTGCACGGAATTAGAAAAAATACAAAATTCACAGAGGTGGTTCCTTTCTCTGAAATTATATAAAATATGAAACATAAATTTGACACAGAAGACTGCGGATTCGCCTTGTCAGGAGACCGCATAATCACACACGAACTAGACATGCATGTGTAATCACGCCTCACTGACACTGACAACATGACGAACAAGAAGAACACATGTTCTGCAAGATGGTAATGGACAATCTAACTGCGAAAAGATGCAGGATAACCATTACTGGCAACATTTAGGAAGCAGTAGCTCTGAACCAATCAGAACACAGATGACTACTACTTGAGAGATGACTGAGCAAACAAACTCAAAGGGATTATACATATGTATCATTCGAACCCTAGCTAGCTAATTGTGAGTAAGACATGAGCGATAGGCACAGTGAGTCAGCTACTGAGGCTGTACAAAATGCTTAGTAAAAATGGTCATCGCACAATTCAGTCAGCATACAACTTTAGTTTGTATGCAAAAAAAGAAAGGATGGGTGGGGTTTGAACCCCCATCTATCTTTGAATGATTGGGAAAAAATGCAATAATGTACATTGAAATAGCAATTTATTTTTCCAATAATATAGCTAACAAATGAAGTTCATTTAAAAATTGAAAAATCAAAAATTTCTTTTCCATACTGAACAGAGTGTGCATGTGTTGGCACACTGTAATCAAGCAGGTTTGATCTGAGTCTTACCCTGTGCACGTTCTCCGAGGTGACCGCTTTCGACACGTTTGTCCTTGTGAAAAACACACAGACCCCACTCAGCGTTACGTCCCGGCCATCCGTCACGAACACTTTAGCCTTCCTGTTTCTGACGAGGGATGGAGCTGCCGCTGTCGGGAACAAAGACTGGGTCTGTGCTCGAAACCAAACTAGGAAACATTTCAGGCTCTAAGCTCCTCTTTGTCGGCAAAGAGATGACGAAGCCAAAGCTTTTCAGGACTTTGCGCAAAAGCAAAATATGATTTATGTACAACATTTATTACCTGCTTCTGGTGTTTCCACATCCTGATAGTAGAAGATGATGTGAGGCAGCCCTCCAGCAGCGAAGAAACGCTCCATTCGGTCAATCTGAGAAAAGTTACGATAAAAAACACTGCAGCAAAGTAGGTGGTCATACATAGTCACAATCAGGGTTTGACAAAGAAATATCAGCAACAGAGGCAAATTTACTCCAAACCAATAACATTTCAAGGGCATAGCGTCAGATCATTTTGATAATTTCCTACACATTTAAGGTCCCAAAATTCATACTGTACAATACATAGTTAACTTCCATACTGTATAATGCGCAGTTAACTTCCATACTGTATAATATGCAGATACTGTATAATATGCAGTTAACTTTCATACTGCATAATGCAGTTAATTTCCATGTTGTATAATGCACAGTTAACTTCCATACCATGTAATGCACAGTTAACTTCCATTAGCAATTTAGCGTGCAGTAAGCTAACGGAAGGTTCACCTGAGTGCCCTCCAGAATGGCATCCTCCACGTCCGCCTTCTCCAGTCCAACGCAGGAGGCCACGATGCTGAGCACGTAGTCATGTCTGCCATCTAGTTGGGCGCGTTTCGTCTCCCGTTCCTCCTTCAGCTTTTGCTGCAGGAACCCATAGACGCGAGACGATTGTACATTTTCCCAATACAGCCTGTATCCGCCATCCCATCACTTCCCATAAGTCAGCCTGCCCTTATAGCTATGAGAATTTCTCAGTTGTTCTCTCTGCCTTGCTGTTTATCCCCTTGCTGGACAGTGCTGGAAAAGCAGAAGCCCACTGTTTCCGACGGCATCAATCTCTGCAGCTACCTGTCTTCTCTCAGCGTCTTTCCCTTCACCTGCTCTCCACCTAATCCATCTCTCTCCACAGGCCTCTTTCCACCAAGGCAACCTAAGTACCTATCAATGCTCCAGTCAACTGGTGAACTAACCTCAGGCCACCAGCCAACCCATCTTACCACCTCTGTACTCGTGCTCCTCTCTCAATTTTCCCCATCTGTGACCTTCAGCACGATCTCCCACCTTCATCACGATCTCCCCTTTCCCCTGCCTGTTGTTTCCTTCCCCCCTCTACTCAAATACAGTAGCCAGTTCTGGTTGGTAATGCCTCCACACTTTCTGCACACTTATTTAACGCCCTGTAATACACGCCTATCATTTCGTTTTTCATTACAGTGGTCCCAAGTCATGGAGCAGACAAATAATGCACATCCCTGGGAAATCCTTTGTATTAGTATGAAATCATGTCCTGTTCTTCTTTACAATAATTCCTTTTTCTCTGCTGTATTTAAATTAACAACCAGAAATGCCAGAGTAGTAAAATAAGGAATGTTTCCCTCACAAAGAAGACTGGTGCCCCCTGTAAAGTTTTCCGAAGACTGAGATGTCGCGCTTGATCACTGAACGTTGCAGTTACTGTGGGTAAGTTAGGTAATCCCTACAAAAGGCCTGATAATGAATACCTAAGACAATAAATGACCTGGTTTGTTTGCAGTTACAGATTCGCTGCTTCTTATTATGGGGTTGTTAATTATTTGTCTAAAATTAAACAGTGGCAGACAGAACAACGATTATTTTCAGGCCAAGTGTCCTCAGTAGCTCCATCTATCTATTTATAACAGTAATACGCGTATCAGCATAATTCCCTTTGTTTATTTATGACCCTATTTCCATCCATCCATATGTTTACCAACGGCATTTCCAGGTCAGCCTTGTGAGAGAAAGACTATATATGCAATACAATATCTATACTGCAAAGCATCTAGAGAAGGTAGAAGAGCAGATACCATAAATTAGGGTTCCATAATTCCGGTCCTGGAGGGTCAGTCCACAGCACAGCTTGCAGATTTCCCTGCTCAAACACACCTTATTCAGCTCTTCAGGTAATTACCAGATTTAGTATGTGTGTTTGAGCAGGGAAATCTGCAACTGTGCTGCAGACCGGAATTGGGGAACCCTGCCATAAATCAATAAGAAAATAAAATATTTGACTATCCTCATACATGAAAACATTCATATTTTTTTTTACTGTCCAAACATGTGCAATCAAGAACCAGAAATAATGATTTCAGGGTGGCATGTGGCTCAGCAGGTTAAGACCCCATACTGATGATCTACAGGTTGTTTGTTTGAATCCCAGGGTTAGCTGACTTGTGCTACTTTCGGGATCATGAGCAAAAACCGTAACCGTGGCCAAACCTGGGCAGCAGCTCCCCCCCCAGTCATGCTGTCACCTGTTTGAGTGTCTCATGCAGAGCAAGATGGGACAAGCAAAAAGACATTTTCCCCACAGGAGAAAGTATCTATCATCAATAACATTGACAGAGCTACAGTACAACCAAAAGTCAAGATGGGAGAGATGTGGGTGTATGTGTGCCGATAGGGGTTAGCATCCATCCATTTCCTGAACATGCTTCTCCTATTCAGGGCTGCAGGGGGTCCAGAGCCTATTTCTTAGGCTATGGGCGCAAGGCAGGGAACAACCCAGGATGGGGCACCAACCCGTCGCAGGGCACAAGGCAGGGAACAACCCAGGATGGGGCACCAACCCGTCGCAGGGCACAGTCACACACCATTCACTCACACATGCACATCTATGGGCAATTTGGCAACTCCAATTAATCTCAGCATGTTTTTTGGACTGTGGGGGGAAACCAGAATGACCAGAGGAAACCCCACGACGACACGGGGAGAACATGCAAACTCCACGCACACGGAATCCCGGTGAAGACTAAAAAACACAAGTTCCGGAGGTGTGAGGGAGCAGTACTAACCCCCAGAGAAAAGCGATGCTATAAACATTATAGTAAACAAAATGAACATATGCCGTGTGTGTGCGTTTAGTGCACATGACATTGCGGAGAAAAAAAATCACAAAATACAGAGCACTCCAAAAAAATAAAACCAAAAAAAAAAACCTCAACAAACCACATGTCGTCTGTACCCCCTCTACAGACCTCTCTGCTCCCCACTTACAAACCAGAGATAAAGCCTTCATATAGTCTTTCCCTTGACCTACCTAAGTCAGAACATACCATATTAACACTGCAGGGGTGCTAGTCATATAATGTCAGAATAGGTACAAAACATACTAGGGAAAATAATTCAATAGTCCTCCTGGCCTTTTAAAGCCAGGCATTATTTTAAGGCAGCCAGATACAATCTGCATCCTTTTGGGGTCCTCGCACCCATCCAGAACTGATAAACAAACACAGAAGATAATGATTTTTTGTTCTAAAATCTTACTGAAACGCAGTAGGATACATGAGCTGCCTGATTTTGCAGAGATTCTCCAAACCAGCTTTGTTTCAGACTGTTCAATTGAGTTATTTGTGAGTATCTGGTTAGGTTACTGTTTAATAGTTTTTTTTATTATTTTCCTAATCTGTTTTGTCACAAACAGAATTATATAATAAATATTACAAAAAAAAAGCTTATGCATAATTCAATTGCAAGTGTCTTGGTGTATCTAGTTCCATGTACATCCCAAAACCACTGCTGCATAGTCAGTCAATCCAATTAACTGCGGACTCCGTCTCCCATCAACAGTATGAAGTGGCCAAACGACATCTTCATCCTCAGATGGAATTACACTCACGCTCTAACCATAAAGTTCAACTCTGGCTGCATTTCTGAGGGACATCAGAGCTGCTGAAAGCAAAACTCAGTGCCATTTCATAAATAAAGGGGTGAAAATCGAAAGCACTTGAGGATACCTGAGATGAATGCAGCTTTTAAAAGTTCAGGCCGCCGTCAAATCCCTCATCAAAGAGATGGAAGGCACAGAGAGAGCTGACATGAGCTGGCAATCAGGGATATTTATCCTCAGAGAGGAGCAAACATGTGTATGTAGTAAGAAGCAGCAAGAAAGGCCGCCACAGCTGCCTGAAAACCAGATAATACCGGAAAAAGCAAATGGTTGCTGGGTGACGATTTTTGCTCATATAGTCGCCCGATGCTTGACAACCAGCTAATTCCACTGTATATTACCTGAGTATGTTTTTCCCCCACAATACCATTTTCTGTATCTTCTAATCCCCTGTATACCTGAGAATTGAACATTAAAAGTAGCAATACTACAATGTAAATACTTAGTGTATTAGAAACTGTCAGTAACATGGACAGTGTGAAGTATACCTGATTAAAGATTTGAAGTCCTGTTCATGACTAATAATATGCTGACTGAGCTTTATAGAATTTAACCCAAAATTACACTATACAGCTGTTTCCTTTACAATCCAAAGTATCATTAAAAACCTTTGGCAGCAGCATAGTTCAAAAGTATCCGTGCTCTTCCCATAACACCTTTTCAGTCCAGTTCTCACATGCATGAGCAGATAGAGAGAAGGAGCCAGGTTCTGATTTGTGTTATTAGACAGTCAGATCCTTTGAAGGTTCTTCCTAAGTCCTTCATCACAGCTCTGCCAAGTGTCAGTCATTCTTGACTGTTGGATCCTTTGTTCTTCATGACTGTTCCAAGTTATAAAAAGCTGCCTATAACTGCCATGTCTTCACCATCAGGAATGAAGTTAGATTCCTGTCCTCTGGTCATAAAATTTGTCTTCACATGTAACCATATTTCCACCTTTTCATGCTTAACTTTCCTTATTAGTGTCATCTGATCACTTTAAGTTTTTGCTATAAGTATGGTGCCACTGTCCACATTGGTCTTCTACAAGAGCAACTTCTCTTATTGTGTCTTGGGCGTCAAATCATTTCACTGTGTTATTTTATGTGTGTCTAAATAAATGGATGGATGGATGGATGGATGGATGGACAGACAGGTGGACGGACAGATAGATAGATAGATAGATAGATAGATAGGAGATCATAAGAAGTCATGTTGTAAAGGCAGAAACCTGTCATTCTTTATATTAAATTTGATGCTTACTACACGACGTGATCCACCATACCACTTCCCAATACCTTTAGCTCCTGGTAGGTCCCTGTGATGAGGCTTATCTTGCTCAGATGATCAGGCCTGAGTTGCAGCATCTCCACTTCTCACTCAGCGAGGTCTCCTTAGCGGATGCCCTCTTAATTGCCATAACAACTCCTGACATCATAACCTTGCAGCTGTAATTCTGTTAGCCCTTAGCTTACAAGAAGCACACTAACGTATTGTGTGTCTACCAGCTGACCAGGCGATTATCAGAAGTACTCCTATCACATACAGAATTCATCCACGGGACTCAGGGCTCATTAGAGTTCATTATTACGGAAGTGACTAAAATATACTACAAGTCTATTTTGCCATTTTGCAAAGCAAGCAGCACAATGGATGGAGAGAAGCATGACATCTATATGTGGGTTGTATACTGGCCTTAAGCATGTAAGCTTGTTTCACAACTGCCACTGTATACGTAACGTTTGCATGTTTTGCCCGTGTTTTTGTACATTATTACATGAGAGCCTACATACAATGTAACACATATAATTAATACTATTATTAATTATAATAGTTTAAAAATGACACCCCAAAGCTTATTTTATTGTGAAATACCAGAGGAAGTAAGACTGCTTCAATGTTGTCAACACTAGGGATGATTAATTGTTATGGCACTTTTCAGAAACACAATGTTAAAAAATGCTACTTGAGAAAG